GAAGGGACCATTCCCTGGAGAAGGATGTCATGCTTGGTAGGGTGGAGGGTCGACGAAAGAGGGGGAGGCCTTCAATGAGATGGATTGATACGGTGGCTGCGATGATGGGATCAAGTATAGCAGGGATTGTGGGGCTGGCGCGGGATCGGGCAGTGTTTTGTTCTGCTCTGCATGGGGTCGCTATGAGTCGGAAATGACTCGACGGCACTTAACAACAACAACAGACTACTTTTTAATGACTGTAACAATATTCCTTCTTATGAAACCAAACCAAACAAAACCCACCACTGTTGTGTCAATTCCAACTCTTAAGGGCCCTACAGGACAGAGTAGAACTGCCCCATAGAGTTTCTGAGGCTGTAATCTTTACAGAAGCCAGCTGCAGTATCTATTTCCCACAGACCAGTTGGTGGGTTTGAACTGTCAACCTTTCAATGAACAGCTGAGCACTTAAACACTGTGCTACCAGGGCTCCAATTCCTTATTATGGAGATCCCAAAATTTGTTTAAACAGTCCCCTACTGCTTCATACTGTTTTGTCATGGTTTCCCCATTCTAAACAATGATGGAATGAAAATTCTTAAAAATGAAACTTGTACTTATTCATCAGATGATCTCTATATGAAATTCAAGAAATAAGGTTGCCAAATCAAAGGTTAAGCACACTTAAAAGGCCTTTGATGCACCTTACCAAATATTTAAGCTTATTTTAACACCCACTGTGTTGAGCTAAGGCGTTCTCATGGTGTAGTGATTAAACTATTTGGCTGATAACCGAAAGGTCAGTGGGTCAAACCCACCAGCTGCTCCACAGAAGAAAGACAGGGTGGTCTGTTTCTGTAAAGATTTACAGACTTGGAAACCCAGTGGGGGTCATTATGAGTCAGAATTGACTCAATGGCAGTGACTTTTTTTTTTTTGGTTTCGGTATTAAGCTGATTTATCCTTTTAGTAATACTTCGCCTTAAAAAGCTTTCTAGCTTTTGTCTTAACTTTATTGTCTACTAGCCACTCCTCATAAGGAAGATTGGGCAATTTACTTCCGTACAGATACCACCTCGGAAACCCAAGGTGGGGTTGCTATGAGTCAGAAATGACTCGACAGCAGTGAGTTGGGTTTGGTTTTGGCTTTCTATTATTTGGAAACATTTGAGTATTTGTTGAATTTTTAGAAGAAAATTAGCACCATAATACTAAAAGCGAAGTATACCAAAATGCAACTGGGTTGAAGGAAAGAAAAGAATGAGAATATTGTCAGCAAATATTGTCACATATTCCTCTTTGCCAAACAGATTCTGAAATTTCAGCTGGCACTTGATTCAAGCAATGAATATGTTTCAGATACAGGACATGAGGTCTCTATGCCTGTCTGTGTTCAAGTATGCAACATGATGGACTCGATTTTTACTCTTTTTCTGTCCTTCATAGAGCCCTGTTTTAGAAGGAGACTTTCATGTTTGTTCAATGAATAGCACTTCACTTTGAAATAACTTTCAGTTATTAAGAAAATTATTCCCATTTGGTGTTTCCCCCACCTAAGTTGTGCAATTCCTGAAGCACTCTCTTGTGTGCTGAACAGTGATTATCTCACTCTGCAATCACACTGGTGAATTTTCTCTCGCTTTCTCTCTGTGAGAGAGCTAGGTAATTTCGTGATGAATGTTCCAGCATGCCAAAAGAAAATGGGTGACAGTGAAACCACAGTCATTTGGAAATAAATTTACTCAATAGCAATGGGAACTTTTCTTTTTGCTGTTTCTTTCTTTCTTCTGAATGAAAACAAAAACAACCGTATTCTGACATGGTTTTTCTGCCCTTTCTTGTAGTGCTGTGCGGAGGAGGTGAGAGCTTTCTGTGTGCCAGTGGCATCTGTGTCCCCAGGAAACTGCAGTGTAATGGCTACAATGACTGTGATGACTGGAGCGATGAGGCTCACTGCAGTAAGTGACAGCGGCTGGGGTTTGTCTGTGTGGACAGTGATCCTATTCAGGGAAAGCAAAGTCAATCCGTTGGAAAAGCAGGCCCACCATCTAGCATTCATATAGACTGCTTTTGGTTTGCCTTTCTAAAGTGAGCAAACATGTTTATCTTTGTTTATGCTTCCTTCAAACCTGGTGATAGTCAGTGGCACAAATCGTGTAAAATCCCCCATTGGTAGATTTCAGCTTTAACCAACCTGGCTTTACTTCTTTGATTTGCTTGTTTGTTTTGACTGAATTAGCCAGTGGTTTGTTCCCTGTAGATTCAGATTCCAAGTTATTTTGCATGGTTGCACCAGATTAAAGGGAATAGTTGGCCTGGAGAATACATTGCATGATTTGTATCCAAAAGAGAACCATATGCAATTGTGTTCTAATTACATTTTAATGGTTTTCTAACCAGCAATGGTTACTCTGGGAAGAGCTGTGGTTTGCTCCCGGCAGGAGTTGCCAAGGCTTAAGAACGTGCTTGCAGTTGCTGACCTCAATTGAGAGATTGCTCTGCTCTGTTTGCCTGCTGGCTGAACCACGTCTCCTTCCATCTGAAGGCTAAGGTTGCTCCTTCGTTGTAACTTTTGAAAGACAGTATATTGCGGGAGTTCTGGTAGCATAGTGCCTAAGGCACTTGACTGCTAACCAAAAGGCTGGTGATTCAAACCCACCAGCCACTCCTTGGAAGGAAGATGGGGCAATCCTACTTCCATAGTGATACTGCCTCGGAAACTCAAGGAGGGGTCGCTATGAGTCAGGTCCATCTCGACGGCACATAGCAACAACAACAACAGTATGTAATTGCCTACTAAAGGTTCTGAAAAATCCTGCAGTTAAAAGAAAAAAAAAAAAGCCTTGTTAGTTTTATTTAACTTGTTATTTCCTCAAAATGATTTGCTCACAGAAACCCCAATCCCACCTTCCTAACTTTCTCTCTCTCTTCTCCTCCCCTTCTCCCCTCTTTTACCTCCTTCTCTCTCCCTCCTTCCTTCTCCCTTCCTTTTTTTTTTCTTTCCTCCCCCATTCCTTTCTTCCTGCCTTTCCTTTTGCATAATGCCTAGTGTTCTGTGGAACTTAGGAAATGTTTTCAGTAAATCATTTGTTTTTGTAATTGGGAATTATTTCTTCAGTAAAACCTATAGCATATCATTTTTATATATATATATATATATATATATATATATATATATATGCCATTAGTATAACTAGATAGTCATATATATAGTTGTTGTTGTTGTTGTT